CGCGCAACAATGGATGCAACAGATAAAGGGCGCCCCCCCTCTCGCTCTATCGACTGGACGAGAATTCGTCCAACGTTCAGGTCGACTTGCCTCAAGGTGAACTTTTAATCTGATTAATTCAGACACGGAAGATTGCGGCAAACCGTTGTCACCCGGAGCAGGAGAGTGGTGTTGACTCAAAACAGGCGCGGAACTCCGAGGCAGAGGCCAGGAGCACGACACGCAGTAGATCTAGCTGAACGGAGATCGAGAACGGTGTGCGCATCTGGTGCCAGCAACAAAGATACCGCCCAGCGAGAGTGTTCACGGAGGGTCCACGGCAGCGGGGCAGTCCTTGTCCCCTTACGCCCAGAGCATCTGGGGCCCGATGGGGTCGAGTGCGTCGAATTCCGTGGTGCAACGATTCAGCAAAAGAAAAGCAATCATTTTGGACCAACCGGCCAACGTTCGGGTATCAAAGGGAGCCAGGGTTAGAACGCGAAGGTAAATCAAGGGATTACCCGCAGCAGGTGGGCACGCGGTATATGTTCTTAGACTGCCCGCATGCTGGTGCTTCGAAGGGGGAGGAGTGCAATTGGCCCCGTTTAGGACGCGGGGGAGCTGAGCCTGGGGGTCGAAGATGAGCGTCATCCGCCAGGCTCCCGGATACGGCGCCTCACCTGGCCACAAGGGAATGGAGAACACTATCATCGAGTTGTTAGTGTGGAGGATTCATGGAGGTATGTACATATGGCACTCACGACGAGCGAGGCCGATCATCAAGCCCATGAATATGACTTGAGAAAAAATCAGCAGGCGGTGTGTGTGGTGGGCCGGATCGCCTACAAAAACGGGGTCTCCAGATGACCTGGAAGGGGATGATGTTCAGCGCTGGTGATGACTCGGAGTATAGACGACCAAACATACGAAAGCCAGGAGTAGGATCAAAAGAAGGCTATATGGCAGTCAGCCAGAGAGCGGAGAGATAGTGCGGTAACCACAAACTTTACTGCCGCCTCGGTTCCTAGAAGATGTCAGACAAAACCAGGGGGGGCAGGGCATGAATTTTGCTCACTAATTATCCATGCAATGAATTTATTCATGATTGCCGCCGTTCTGGACGCCAGTCAGTCTATATCTGTGTCGGTAGGGGCAGCAATCGAACTGACCGCTTGCGGAGCATGAAGACAATTGTCCCAGCAATCAACAACAACGATATGAGCGTGCCGAGAGCTGAGGCGACCTTACTGAGTGAAATGACGACACAAGTCCAGGGCACGAACCACGAGTGCTATCTGCACCGAAGGGGGCCGCATACAAGCGTGCAATCCCTGTCAAGGTCTGTGGGGCTGCATGAAAACATGCGTGGCCAGGAGATACGGAGTAACTGCCCTGTTTCGGGCGTTGGAAAGCCGCCGAGAGGCGCGGTGCCAACGAGGAACTGAGGGCTTGCATTGGGCTTGTGGCCAGTTCGTAGGGGAGGAGCGATGAGAAGAGCCGGGAAAGGAGTCTGGAATACGGGAGACGAGGTGGGGGTGGTTTCTGGGAAAGGAAAAGGCGGTGCAAGGCGATGACTGGTTCATGCCAGCGGCACCGGTGCGACATTTCTCACGGTGTACATTCAAGATCCCGATCAGCTGATACAGGGTTGATATCTAGTCCTTTGACGGACTGCGTTTGAAACAATATAGGGATCGAAAAAGGGGGCACACCAGTGAGAGGCGGTGAAGTTGGCGAGCGGAGCAGAGGGTCCAGCACGCCAACCAGATTTCGGAGGGAAGCATTGTGAGGTAGGGACTCGGTGCGCTGCTCATGATGGTGCGAATAAAGAGAGTACTGTGCACCCACGTCAGGATTCGGTACCGCTGTGTTCCCATGCCACTTGGATGATGGACTCCCGTGTCGCCTGATCATGATTAATATTGCATTCCCGTCCCCTCGGCGTTAAATCTAATTGGGTGCAGTCTGGCGGTGTAGGGCGGTGCCATACTCCATTTTTGCGAACTGAATACAGTTTGATGACGGTTGGACCACAAATTAACGATCAATGTGGAACCATGCTCGGAATCCTGGCTATCCTGCAAGGATACTAGATACGTGGATCTGTTAGGCTCAAGCCGTTTAAAATCCCTAAATTATGTACGCTACAAGGAAGACAGAGTTCGATTATACACACCCGCGAAATTCGTCGACCGCGAGCCGTGTCAGAGCAACGGGTGTTCACCGTCGTTCAGCTGATGATGCCCTGCCTGCTTCCATGCATCTGTCTCGCCTCGCCTGCGAGTCCGTAAGTGGGCTGACATGAGTTTGGTATGATCCAAACTGCTGGGGCCGAAATACAAACTGCACCTCATAGGATTGATTGTCAATGATCCGGAGCGCCTGCGAGCGTTCGGAGACATGGGGGATGATCCTACCCAGCACAAATCAGCGACATGGAAATGGGAAGCAGAAGTGGACGCACGAATAATATGCACTGCTGAGTGCTGCATAAGCTGCAGTCGCGCCTTCGTATTCTGCTGCCGTGGCGGCTCCGGGACTCATTTATTTTTGTTTTGATTCGCGTTGATGTCCTGTTCGAATCAGAATCACACCCCAGGGCTCATTTGCGGTGTAAACAGTGTGTGTTTTTGAATTACTCCCGTAGCCCTCGCCATTTATGATGAGGATAGACTCGCCTTGTCGACCCGAGAGAGAATTGACGGGGGCCAAAGCTAATTGACCTCATGAGCCAGACGGGCACTGCACAGGTCCTACCTTAGGTACAGACGTCTTTGAAAGAGAGGCGCTAAAGCCGAAACCTGGATGGTGCAGCAGAATTTGACGCAACGGGGGAGCGAAACCCAGAGAGAACATGAGCGTCGGGAAGATTCGAGAGCAACGAAGAGGAGGCGCGCAGGGAGTAATACTAGTAATAGTGGTGTTGGTGCGGATTGACAAGTCGGACAGCGCGGTACGGGCTGCCGGGCAGGATTGAGTCGAAATGACGTAGCGGGATGAAAGACCCAAGAAAGACCAATGAAAGACAGGAACGGAAAGAAAGCAAAGAGAGAGAGAAAGCGCATGATTAGCATCGCCCAAAGGGGGAATGGCGTGATCCCATCAATCCGCCTGCTTCCTCTCAACGTCGTCTGCGCCGCGGCGTCAGCTCGAATACCCGGACGGTAGACGTCGGCGACACACCGCTACTGTGAAGATCGCTGCCGCTTCTCCGCACCTACGCGCGGCGCAAAATGAGTGTTTTCTCAGCGACATCCGCGGCGCGCGCTTGCCTCCTCGGCGGTTAGGTTACAGGACGGGACTAGGGCGGTACTCAATATTGATGTTGATGTGCAGTGACAATGTACGCCGCGGTCCGTTAGAGCTTCCCTGCTCTCCCTCTGCATTGATCTCTTACACCTACGCGAAGACTATGGCTCGAGTCCCGCGCGCGCGCACAAACGCGGGCTTGTTCTGTGAGTACGTATTCATATCCGTATTGCCACCCGCCTTCCTTAGCTTACCCGCCCTCTCCATCTCTCCATCTCTCCCGCATGCCCTCCCTCTGTCACTCGTCACTCGTCCTTCCGTAGCCCTGCTTCCACTTGCGTCTCACCCCCTCCGTCCGTTCCAGCTCTCCGCGCCCCGCCTCTCCCCTCCTCCTCCTTACCCGCACCCCCTCCTTTTCCGTCCGTGCCCTCCCGTCCTCGTCCCCTCGTTCCCCCATCCCCCTTATCCCATCCTATCCTTCATCCTTCGTGCCCATCCCGTTCTCCGCGCCATCCTTCCCATTTATCCTCTTCGTCATCGCTAACCTCCACTTCAAACAGACCCCGCTCTACATTCCCCCTGGCGTCCGGCCCGCTGCGAAGGGCGGACGACTCGTCGGATGCAGACCACGGCTGCGAGTCGGTGGCGAAGGCTACGAGCCGGTGCGTTCCCCCCTCCGCCTCCACCTCCATCTGCACGCGCCAACGCTTTCCCCGTCTTCTGCAGGCCTCACCAGTCGACGCACAGCGGTCGATGGGATACGGCAGGGATCATTGGATGAAGGTGCGTCTTCCCTTCACCTCCAGCCGTCTCCATATCTGCGAGCGCTGACACCGCCTTTGCTCTGTAAAACCTCGCCCCCGATGCACAGCGGTGGTGGCGGACACGGGCGGTCCCGCGGATTTGACGCGCGCGGCACGAAGCCGGGAGCGCGCGGCTGCGTATTCGGGGGTGCGTCCTCCCCTTCCTTGCACGCGGACGCGAGCTGACGCCGGCGTTCCTTGGTGCAGACGCCGATGACGACGCGGGGCTGGATTTAGGACCGAGAAAAGGGAGAGCGCGGTCGTAGGATGCAGGGACAAGACGAGTGCGATGCGACGGTGCGGTGCGTCGTCCTCCTTGCTCGGTCTTCCCTGACGCCCTCTTGCTTTCTTCACAGCGCGAGCTCGACCTCGACGGTGAAAATCCTCCTTGCCCGCGGTCGCGGCCGCACGCATGTCCTGACGCCCTCTTTTCTCTCTGCAGCCCTCGCGACTCGGAGGCACGCCACGCCGCTCGCGATCGTTGGTGGCGCGATGCCGGTACTGGTGCTGATCCTGCTTCGAAGTGATTGGACGACAGGTGCAGTCTTGGATGCAACGGGCACGACCATCCAAGACGGGCACGATACGAGGGGCGAACTGCGCAACGCAGACGACGACGATAGCGGGCGAAGAGTGCAAGAGCGAGCGTGTTCACCGGCTTTTTACGCAGAGCTCGACTTCTATGACGTCTTACCGAGTTTCGTACCGAAATTACAAAGGCGAGACTGCTTTGTGTGTTGCGAGATCCAAGATTTGTGTCGTCGATTTGTCCCACTGTCCAGTTAAATCTCACAGGACAATGGATCTAATCAAGCTGTCGCACAACGTTCAGGAGTCAGCGAATTTACTGCTGTGATTCTACAACTGAAGTAAACGTCGAAGTCGCTGAAGGAGATCTCACTGGAATTCGACCTTAAGGACGCCCTTCAGGTTCCGCTGAAGTCCGAGCTGCTTATATCATGTTCATATTCGGATATGGTGCAATGGATAGCGCAGTCTCGTGGATTCTCTCACATGGGCTGGGATGAGAGATAGACCGAGGTTCGATTCCTCGTATCCGCCACTTTTTGGCTCTGCGTCCCTGAGTCGGATGCCATAAAAATCGAAGGCAAGCTTGACGAGGATATCTATCTCTGCGATTTTCAGGAGACAATAGGTGTGGAAACGCGGCGAATGGTTGGTCATGGTCAATATTTCTTCGTAAGCTTTTCGCGCTGCTGAGTAGAGGCTCTGGTCGAAGGCAATTTCCGCCTCAAGATCAAAGATCAAAATCTCGCGAACGGAGTTTTTCAGGCCACCAGCAACGACTAATTGGCGAGCAGCAGCACAAAGTTGGAGGGCGAAGGCGAAGTGTCCGAGATTTGCCAGAGCAGTGGCCTCCCGCACGACACACGCCAGTTCTCCCGTTGTATGTCCCGCGAGGCGGGCAGCTTTCTGCCCACTCCGTGCATTGAAAATGCTGCCTCGGTAGTTGCCAGTGGCTGCCTCGATGGCAGAGCGCAGTTCAAATAGGCGGCCCACGGAATAGGAATGATTGCCAAGATGTTGGGCTTCCCCTAACAAAGGAATGGCAAGGTCCGAGAGCTCGAGTGCTTTCTGGATATCATCCGTGCGCCAAAAATGCACCGCGGCAGAATTATAGAAGTCGACTGCGATTTTAGAATACACATGTGATATGGACGGCACTAGTATCATTCATACCAGTATCCCAACGACAATTCTTTGCGGAACGAAGGTATTCAATAGTTTGGGGAATCGACAGGGTGGCCTCGGACTCGGAAACGGGAAGGCCGAAGCCACCCAACCGAGACATTAAATATCTGAAATGTAGCTCCTCGTTCCCGGACGACTGGACGAAATCATGGAGGCACAATGCCAGAGTACTGACACCCTTCAGCATGCTTTGCGTAAAGAAGTTTAAATTGATGACGCCGAAAGCGATCTCGACTTTTTTTGTGGGGACTTCGGCGGCGAGCCCATGTCGGAGGAAACTTTCGATATTTCCAAGGTTAGACCTGAGTTGTGGGAAGGTGTCGCCCGATGCTGGCTGCTGCGAATGCCATAAAGCCAACAAGGATTGCCAGTAATTCCGAAGTGGTTCGATGAGACCCATCTGCGGTGGATGAACACTGCGTATGAATTCGCGGATTGGACTCAAGACCTTGAGTCGCCCGTCGTGATCCATATATGCCAAAGAAGTCCGAAGGAGCAACGATCTCGACGCCGAAATGAGCGGGATTGGAATGCTGCTGGTAGTGAGATCTCTGTCGGTGATGCCATCCGGTAGCATTGAAAGGAGACTCAGCAAATCCTTCGCATTAGGTGCGGAGGCGATCCGCGGGCTATTCAAAGAGACGGTGAGGGATTGCTCAAGATTGGATTGTCTGTCGTAGCCCTCAGAAAGGAGAGCAGTGTGTTGCTCCTTCCAGCGAGATAGCGTGGTTGAGTAGCCTTGTCGGAAAAATCGAATTTGCCTTATCAGGGGCTGGCGAGACCTGACGGACTTATAAGCCCTGATCAGACCGTGTCAGGTTGAATGGTAAAGCATATCAGGAGTTTTCAGGTAGTATGATATGCGGACAGATATCAATGCGGAAAATAGTGAATTTGAGCCTAATATTGGTCGGCGCGGAGTAACATATCGGGATCCACAGTATCTATCAGAAAATGAAGATTCCCCTTGCCAGTAACTGGCACCGGCGTCAATAAAGCACCACGAATCACGTAGTCCATTAGCAATAGCGAGTACTCTTTCGCCTCCTCGTGCACTTGGCAACCAGCCCATACTGTTTTCGGTTTCCACTTGCTTCGCCGAAATTCGTGGACCAGGGAAACATCGAATTGTCGCTTGTTTTCCAACGTGCAACGTAAAAGTGCAGAAATACGGGCAAACGACATTCCGGGAGCATCAGAATTGAACAGGACGCTGTCGTATCGCTGAGAGCCGTGGAAAGATGGATTGCAACGGATGATGTCTCGAAGACCTCTCCAATCCTCGAGTGATTGGTACGTAACGTGGGCGCATTTGAAGGGTTGAATCTGGGATCGGACGAGACAAGCATAAGCTAAATAAACTGACACACCTGAACACACTGTTCGTAGCTCACGCGGTCATCGGGAAAATGCTCTGCGATAAAATCCCGGAGCATCAAATCAAAATTTTGAACAGTACAGCCAGCGGACATCAAGACACTTTCGAAAGCCTTTGAGTCACTAATGCGGTCGGAGGCCCCGAACCTCCAAGATGCGGAAGTGACCTGGCTGGTATTCGGAGTCGCATCAACATCACTCTCACCCTCATCCTCACAATGCTTCGCGTGCTGGTCAATAGCCATTCGGATCCTTGCAATGGCCTCTTGCGTCTCGTCGAAAATTCAAGTTAGATGAGAACAAGCAAAGCAAAATATGAGTTGCACCGAACACCAATGCTCGTAGCCCTTGATACATGTGCGGAGTCGTTCTAGACGGCTCGAAGGCATGCAATGCATGCCTGCCATCACCCGGTACCGTTGGTAGGCCCGGATACAGTGAACGAGCGGATCGTTGCGCGGCAGGATCTCCACAATGCAGGGGAGGACCGACTGGATGAATTCTGGTCAAAATCAAATGCGATGAACTATTGACCACGTACCTTCAGGATATCATAAAATGTCTGTCCATCTGTAAAGTGTATCGTTGTAAATTGACCAAAACGCTTGAGCCCTGGCCACCGCGAAAATGTGCGCATACTAGATACCAGTAATTAGTTCATGCAACCATCGATAGACGAGAGGTATATTCAACAAGTGTTCACTTTATTATATGCTCTAGTCGTACGTGGTTAATGTGTATGTTTTTAGAGCGTTTCAAGTAGGTCGTGGAAACTCAGCAACAACAGTAATTAATATCATCCCTTAGTAGCTCTATCACTGAACTGACCTACATTACTATCGCGGTTAGCAAGTGCCATTACCACCACTACGGAACTGATAGTGGCACAATCCCTTTTTTCTCCTCCCCCCACCCGAGCCCCTTATCAGTCTCATCAGGCTGGTAAGCGGTCACCAGCCTGATCACGTCTATCAGGCTGATCAGCCCTTTTCCGGGGTTTTTTGCGCCTTATAAGTGCCGTCCTAACCTGACGGCCTGATTTGACCTGATACGCCCATGTCCGGCCTTATTCGCCGTTTTCGATTTTTCCGACACTTCATACGAAGCTACACTGGCCATTAAACTGATAACCAACGGGACATTTCCAGTGAGCTCGAGGAGCTCTTCGAAATCGGTCTTCTCTGAGTCTGAAGGATGATCCGCGATATTAATGAAGGTTTGCTTTGCGGCCTGCGAAGGGAGAGGATCAGGAGGCGCGAGGAACGGGCGGGTCCATTTGACTTTTGCAGGTCGCTCAGCGCCGCGCATGGTTATCGGGACCCGGGTGAATATCAGACTAAGATCAGGCAATGCTGCATGAGCGCACCAATAACGCCATTTGCCTAGTATCACTGAGCGTGGCCAAGAAGTCTTCAATTTCTATCTTGCTGTCTGGTTGCTCCCGCGGAGTTTCGAGGTTATCGAGGATCAAAAGAGTTGGGTCCGATTCCGCCAAATGTGCTGATATAGCGTTGGCGGATTGATTTTGTGCCGTGAGTCCCAGGCTCGAACCAATGCTGCTTATCAGTTGGGTCGTGGTAAGCAGTGAGTCGCAAGAGATGAAAAGGCGCTTCGGGTATTTTTGAATTACATCCTCGTTGTGCAATACGGTCTTGGCAAGCGCGGTTTTCCCGATCCCGCCTGTCCCGAGAATAGAAACCCTTGCGGGCCCATTCAGAAGAGATGAGACAATGTGGCGAACTTCAGTTTCACGCCCATGGAAAATCGCGGGAGACGCGGGCAGGATCGAGATCAGGGACGTACTGCTCCCCGAGACGCGGAGCTGAAGATCCCGTGAGAAAATGTAAAAGGATGAACAGAAGTCGAGAAATACTGAGGATGAATATCGCGATGAATTGTCGCAACGTTCAAGCTCCACCAGTTCGAGCAATTGCGCATAGCGCCGTTGCGCATCGATCTCCATGCGAGCCGCAGTCGAGCTGAGCCCGGTACTCAATGCTAACTGCCCGACCGAGCGGAAGTCAGGGATCAATCTCGGTTGAACAGTGTGGGTACCTTTAAGACGAACAATGCGCCTTGCAACTCTTCGTCACATTCCTCGAGCTGAGCCGTAATTTCACTCTGTTTGAAAAAGCGCCGGATTCGCCCCGAGTCCACCTGAGAACGGAGACATCCTTGCAATTTTTGTAGGGTCCTGCGAGGAACTTGAGGAGTCCGTAGGAGAGCGGGGTAACCTGACTTACTGTACAAATTTACCAATGTTATGCACGAGCTCGATGGGGAGAACGTTGCTAGTTGCCAGACACGAATGTATGATTGTGCAATGGATATCGGGTACGGTAAAAATGACGCGGAGTGACGCGGACCGGCGCGCACTAGTGTTGCCGCGACTTGGACTCGGAGGGTCCCAAGTCGACTTGGTGAGGTCGACTTAAGTCAAGCTAAGTCAAGTCACAAGTGTGACTCAACTCGACTTCGAAGTCGGCACAAGTCGACTTCAAGTCACTTGAGTAGACTTGAGTCGGGTCTCAAATAAAAACTGTCTAATGGCTTCCCTGTTTCATTAGGATGCAGTAGGGGGGAAAGCCGTGCATGTGCCTTTTTTAGAAATGTGTATTTTCATCAGTTGGGGCGATTGGAACCGTTTCATTCTTTTTTTTCTGACCGAATGTCACGAGTGTGACGTATTGTGACGTTAGTCACATCCGTGTCACAGTAGAGTTGGTTTGTGGTTCCATCCGGTATTAAACGCTGATTAAATCCAGAAAAATATATTGAAAATCTGACATCCCATATTTAAGGCTTTTAACTCACCTAGCCTCTAAAAAAACCACAGGAACCTGATGTGAATGCAGATTGAACACCATTTCATCAGTTCATGCACGAGTTTGATTGAAATTCATTTATTCATTCATTTATTCACAGTATACCTACACAATGTAGTGGTCATTGCAGGAATTTAAAAAAATACC